ATTTGAATTCAGCTGAACTCACCTTGCATCTGAATTTCTGAAGGAAAATCAAAGCAAGCAGAAAGGAACAGCTATATTCACCCACAAGACATCAACTCCCATTGGTGCTTTAAGCGTTCTTCAGCCACAAACACCCAGCATGAAACAAGTCCAGCAGCACTTCCTACCTTTGCAAATGAAAGCTGAAGCAGCCAAATAGGCACTAGGACAAGATTCAGAAATACTTTCAGTTCATTTACTATGAAACAAGACACACATCACAAAATATCTCAGCCACTGTAGTTGGCTCCGAGGTAGGATTACTCCTTCAGGTGAGTCAGGCTGACATTTAGCAGCTCTGTAAAGACTCGGTATCAGAAGCCAAGGCACAAGGATAGCTCCACAGTCTAATGCTTAACTCATTATCACTACAAGGAGTCATAGTTGTCAAGAACAAGGGCTGTTTGCCAACAAGAAACTGGAGTTTTGGGGAGTTATGCTTAACTAACACTCCTACCTCTGACCAATTCGCAGTTGCTAGACTTAGACTTGTAGAAACTTAGATTTCAAGTTTCTAGACTTGAAACAGCATACACGTGGCATCTCTTCTGACTTAATTTTAAGCTGGACCAAACTACCAAGCTAATTAGCACTTTTTTTTTTCCTATCACACAGTACTGTAGCTGGGAACTGCTAGCTCTCCCATACACAGCCCCGCTACCTGTAAAAACTTGGTTTTTGAACAAAGCGAAGGTTGCAATAACTTGTTTGTTCAAAGCTCGTATTTACTTACCAGGTCACCCTTTGATTCTCAGATTGATTCCTCCGTTGTCTCTCCTCTTGGTTTTGTACAATCAGGTCCCAGTTGAGGACAATCTCAAGAATATAATTTCTTTCATATTGAAAATACAAACACATGGAGATGTGCTAACTCTTCACCCTGCTGTTTTGGGCTCACCCGAGCGTGTGTGTGGGAGGACAGGGAAGTAAAGCAGAGGAGAGAAAGCTATTGAGTTTGATTCACTGGTTTTGGATATTAAGAGCCTCCCAAAGAATGAAGAAGGAGGAATGACCTTTACTAAGGCCCTTCCAGGAACACTAGAATTAAAGGAAGGAAATTAGGCTGCTGATGCATGTCAAGGCTCAGCTTTACAGGGCTTCTCTCACAGCCTGGCTACAAACAAGTAATGCTTTCTCAACCCACAATAAACAAAAGCCACCCTGTAATATATGACCAGGAAAGGCTCTCTTGCGTTGGCTGTTTTGTTTTTTTCCAATATACAACAGCTCTCAGCAGTTCCTGGAAACATGTCTATTTTCTAGTGTGCCATTCTTTTAGACACAGACCTACCACTTGCAGAAGCGGGACCTGTCCCAGTAAACTCCAGCACACATCAGCACACCTTACTAAGGGCAAGGTGAGCTGACCCCAGGCCAGGGCAAACACAAGTACATAGTTCCTCTGGTCACTCTGCCCGTTTCCAGCCACAGAGGACACCCTTTCGCTGGCATTGTGCAGCCTTCACATAGCCTTGCCACTAGGTAACGGCAGCCCTCCTGGCCTTGGATGGACTGTTGTGTTGATACAGAACGTGCAGGTAAACAAGCGCTTGGCACAGCATCATCCCCTGAAAGAGATAGGGCATAAAGATACCAGAGGTTACAACAGGGTTAAATATTAAACTGGTAAAGAGCTTAAAACGCACAAAGCAGTTGACCTTAACCCACTTTGTGTTTCCCACTTCTTTTTCTGGGTACCAATGCACGTTTTTTTGCACTTCAGTACTCACATTGTCCTCACTCTTCTTGCTCAGAAGAGCAGGTTGAAAATTGAGTTTATCTATTTCCACTAAAAGGAAGAAAATAAAATAGCTAGATTAACAGCAATCAAGAGTATAAGAGAGCAGACAAAGGAAACCTGCCAAGGTCAATTACCTACCTTCCAAAAGGAAATGCTAGAGTAACCCAGTTACGGGTCTGTGTTAGCAAGATATCATCTGCAGAAGCCAAATGAACTTAAAATCTTTGGGGTGTTTCAGCTCAAACATGCTGAACTGACCCAACAGTGCAGGAAGTGGTATGAGATGGACCATCCAAGAGCACAAAAAGTCATTTCTGCCCTAGGTGCTGTCTCCAAATACAACTGCTACTGACTACAGATGGAAAGACTGCCAGGAAAGACTAAAACTTCCATCATGTCCTCCCAGCTCGGGCAGTTCACAGGTTACCAAGCTAGAACTCACTGAGCTTCTCAATAGGTAGAGTGTTTTATATGAAGGAATAGAAAAAGAACTGTAGGCATAAGAGACATCTAAGCTGTACAGCATCCCTTTCTGCTCTCCCATACCTATCATAAAAAGGAGCCTTTCAGAGTTTAGACTTTTCCAATAAAACAATTAAAAGCAAGGGTAAGTGCATACAACATTACAGTAATTTTTAACAGATAAGAGATCCTGACTTCACTTTATGCACGCTCTCTGAAGTGCTCAACACTCACCTTCCAAGCTTTGTAGTGACAGGTTAAACAGGGATTCAACAGTAAGAAGTATAGTGTGCATCAGTCTTGTTCCTGTAAATTATCAGGCAAAGATACTTGGACGAAAAACATTGACAAATTCTTACAGTCACAGGAGACACCCAGAGAGCATTCTGCCAGCACACATGAAGCACGAGGAAATACAGTGAAACCAGACCTGCTACATATCTACTCTATTGTGCTGACAAAACTAAAATGCTTAGCAGCTCTATCTTACAGAGCAATGAAGTCATCAAACAGCATCTCAGAGATGAAAGATCAACCATTATCACTGTAGTTTGAAAGAAAAAAAAAAAGAAAAAACATCTTTAAACCAAAGAGAACCATCACATCTTGCCATCTTCCTATTTCAAACCTTCCTTTTGGGAAGTAAGCTCCTTGGAGATGCAGGTGAGCAAGTCTAAACCAGCCAAGGCAACATCCACCCTGAATGAGATGACACATGCCCCAAGGATGCAGGTTACCAACACTGTTTCTGGGCTTTGGACATTTCAGTATACAAGAGCAGCCGCAGTGTGGAAAGCTCCACTCAGTTCTTCAGTCTGCTTCACATCAAGCACCTTGTTAGACCTGGTTTTATCCATCATGTTTGGCCAGGTCATGGGGAATAAAACCATGGGATAGAGGCATTTACCCAGGAACTACTAGAAGGCTCACCTGGGTACTTCGGACTGGGAGTAACATTGCACAAAGTGTCTCTTGACATTCCCTAGCATGAACTCTGGGTTAGACAACAAACAATAGGGCAATTCAAGCCCTTACCACACTCCTAGGTCCAGGACCTTGCATTACTACTCAGGTAGTAAAAGCCTCATATGGTTTTCTATTTTGGATCTGGCACAGCCAGGTAGGAGGAAGGGATGCTCAGATCACTCAGGCTGCTATCTCAAAGCCTGTTTTGGTTAATGACATTGCTGGTGCAACGACAGCACACCATCACACCAGTGGGACACAAAGCATGCTACAAACTCTTACTGGGCTACAAAACTAAACAGTTTCACCAGGCTTCATCTCCCAAAAGACACAGACACTGTGGCTGAGTGCTTTGAGAGCCCGGATTCAGACGGCAGCTAGAAAGACAGTGAAGAGTAGCAGGAAGATGCAGCTTAGTCAGGTCACCAGTGCCAGCCCTCAAAGAAACAAGTGCAAGGTAGTGGAGGTGAAATCACAGCTTCAACCCTTTACATTGTAAATAGTAGAGAGCAGACTAGAGCATCTGGAGCTTTGGGAAGGGCAGGAATGAAGAGATCTTTTCTTTGAAATCAGACCAGAAGGAAAGAGCCAACCACCTCTTGACATGGATAAAGGTGGATTCCTGACTCATGCCAACTCCAGTCTACTTAAGCTAAAGGAACAAGCATAATCTCCAGGAAATGATTAAATGATGGCAACAGCAGCTTCCCACTGTTCTCTGCACTGACACTACCCCACATGATCTTCTTGAGAAGGAACAGTTTCAGCCCCACATTCAGTAGTGGAACAAACCCTGGCAGAAGCAGGCTTTTGTCATAAAGGTACGTTGTATGCAAGGAATGATTCCCTTCCCTCCAATCCACCCGGCAACCTGAGATTCGTTTTACAAGATAAGTAGATAGAAACATGCCATCTTCTCCCCAAATTCATTAAGGTGCACTAGCACCTGTGAAGTCTGCCAGTTTGCAAAGAGCAACCGTGATTTAGGGAACTCAAAGCAGAAAACGATGTTAAATAGTATGGTTTATCTGCTGCTCGCTTCAAGAGACCTTTGATGCTAGTTTATCTAATCCTAACATTGTTCACTGTACTTTGAACTCTCCTAGAAACCAATGTGCACTAGTTTTAAAAACAACTTCTCCAGCTTCACTTCCATTTTCTCCGCAACGCTCCAACTTGCTTGCTCTCCAGTCTCCCAGTTCGCCATTAGGCATTGGGACAATATCCAGTAGATCCCTCTGTGCTTTCACCTCTGCAATCCAGAACAGAGTTTCAAGACAGCAGTTCCCACACTGCTGCATGCACGCAAGAGAGGCCACCCCTAACACACTCCTGGCAGGGTGCACAGTACTCTCCAGTACCTTTCCAGACATGTACAGTGCATCAATTTGAAAGAAACAAGGAGTTTGTTATTTTATGCAAAATGTTTTACTTAGAATCCATCATTAAATGCTTTTACATTTGATAAAGGTATTAGCGGAATACTCAAAGAAAGCCAGTTTATGCATGAGTTTGGTAGCTAAATCGTGATATTTAGTTCATTTTCTACTACTTTGATATTTAATTGACCCATCTTGCAATTTTGCAGAAAAGCTTGATGTTATCAACACAGGGTTCAAAACTGGACCACTCAGCAGTACATATTCTTTTTAAGCAAAAAAAAGCTCAATATCAATGTTATTTTTCTCTTCTTTTTTTCTTTCTGTTTAAAACATTAACATCCTTCATGGTACCTTCTCTACGCTGCATAAGGTGCTCAAACGTTAAGAGCTCTACGGAATTCAGAGGTTTGCTAGTCAGAAGGAACAACGAACACGCTGTTTTCTACTGCCTTCTCCATTGGGAGTTCATACTGCAGGGAAGGAAAAAAATTATGAAAATAATTTCAGAAGTTTATATGAACGTTTATATTACATAAGAAAAGAAACTGTAGAGATCCTAGAAGCACATTTAGATTTAGCTTTTTAATCGTCTCCAGAGGATTAAATCCACCCCAGAAGAAGGTGTTAGCAAGATGAGCAGCTCCCATGATATGATTGCTCCTTCCTCAGCCCTATCCCCCCTTTAAAGGTGTCCTTCATCAGAAGCACCTTTAGTAAGGTAAAGGTCTGTGTCCTTGAGCAACTAATAAGGAGGGTCTGGTTGAAGTGCTGAAGGTTGAGGGTAGCCTTGGTTGTAGTGACCATGAAATGGTGGAGTTCAGGATCTCATGTGGCAGGAAGAGAATACCTAGCAGAACTAGAACCCTGGACTTCAGTAGGGCCAACTTTGATCTTTTCAAACAATTGCTAGGAGAAATCCCATGGGACAGAGTACTAGAAGGTAAAGGGGCCCAAGATAGTTGGTTAGCCTTCAAGGATCTCTTCTGAGCTCAAGACCAGTGCATCCCAACAGGTAGGAAGTCAAAAAAGGGTACCAAGAGACCTGCATGGTTAAATGGGGACCTGTTGGGCAAACTCAAGTGGAAAAAGAGTGTACAGATCATGGAAGGAGGGGCAGGCCACTTAGGAGGAATCTTTTGCTGTCAGAGGATGTAGGGAGGCAACTAGGAAAGCTAAGACCTTAGAATTAAACCTTGCAAGAAAGGTCAAGGACAACAGAAAGGGCTTCTTCAAATACATTGCAGATAAAACTAACACTAGAGGCAATGTAGGCCTATTAGTGAATGAGGAGGGTGCCCTGGTGACAGAGGATAACAAGAAGGCAGAGTTACTGAATGCCTTCTTTGCCTCAGTCTATAGTGCTGGAGGCTATCCTGATGAGCCCCGGAACCCTGAGGCTCCTGAGGAAGTCAGGATAGAGGAGGAGTCTACCCTGGTTGATGAGGACTTGGTTAAGGACCAGTTAAGCAGCCTGACCATCCATAAATCCATGGGTCCTGATGGGATGCACCCATGGGTGCTGAGGGAGCTGACAGATGTCATTGCCAGGCCACTCTCCACCATCTTTGTTAAATCATGGAGAATGGGAGAGGTGCCTGAGGACTGGAGGAAAGCAAATGTCACTCCGGTCTTCAAAAAGGGCAAGAAGGAAGACCCGGGTACCTATAGACTGGTCAGCCTCACCTCCATCCCTGGAAAGATAATGGAACAACTTATCCTTGGTGCTGTCTCTAGACATATCAAGGATAAGAGGGTCATTAGGGGCAGTCAACATGGCTTCACTAAGGGGAAGTCATGCTTGACAAACCTGATAGCCTTTGATGAGGACATCACCCAGTGGGTAGGATGATGGTAGAGCAGTGGATATGGTCTATCTTGACTTCAGTAAAGCATTTGACACAGTCTCCCATGGCATCCTCACAGCTAAACTGAGGAAGTGTGGTCTGGATGATCGGGTAGTGAGGTGGATTGTGAACTGGCTGAAGGATAGAAGCCAGAGAGTAGTGGTCAATGGGACAGAGTCCAGTTGGAGGCCTGTATCCAGTGGAGTCCCTCAAGGGTCGGTACTGGGACCAGTATTGTTCAACATATTCATCAATGACTTGGATGAGGGAATAGAGTGCAGGGTCAGCAAGTTTGCTGATGACACTAAACTGGGAGGAGTGGCTGACACACCTGAAGGCTGTGCTGCCATTCAGAGAGACCTGGACAGGCTGGAGAGTTGGGCGGGGAGAAATTTGATGAAATACAACAAGGGCAAGTGTAGAGTCTTGCATCTGGGTAAGAACAACTCCATGTACCTGTGGATACTAAAAAGCTAGAAGCAGAGAAATTTTCCAGCTGCTGCAGCATCCTGAGAAAGTTTTTTCCCATGCAGGCTGGCTGAGAAACAGTTTGAGGTTTTTGTAAACTAAGACTTTTTCTTGCACCTGTAGCTTGTTGTGCAGTCTTCTTTATGGTACACTGGGAAAGTTGTTTTGAAATGGGTGTCATAGCATTCAGCCAATCACTCTGGGAGGTGGATGGTCAAGTGACCAATAGCCTTGGCCATTCTTGTGAACCATGTTATATATACGGATTTGTAATTAATTAAATATTGGCATTTTGGCATTTTCCCCCTGGACCTGAATTCTATGTCGTTCTTCTCTCCTTCCTCAGTACGACAGCGACATGTACCAGTACAAGTTGGGGACTGAACTGTTGGGGAAAGGGACCTGGGGGTCCTGGTGGACAGCAGGATGACCATGAGCCAGCAATGTGCCCTTGTGGCCAAGAAGGCCAATGGCATCCCGGGGTGTATTAGAAGGGGTGTGGTTAGTAGGTCAAGAGAGGGTCTCCTCACCCTCTACTCTGCCCTGGTGAGGCCGCATCTGGAACATTCTGTCCAGTTCTGGGGCCCTGGAACTGCTTGAGCGAGTCCAGCGCAGGGCCACAAAGATGATGAAGGGAGTGGAGCATCTCCCTTATGAGGAAAGGCTGAGGGAGCTGGGTCTCTTTAGCTTGGAGAAGACGAGACTGAGGGGGGACCTCATTAATGTTTATAAATACGTAAAGGATGACTGTCATGAGGATGGAGCCAGGCTCTTCTCACTGGCATCCAATGACAGGACAAGGGGAAATGGATATAAGCTGGAACATAGGAGGTTCCACTTAAACACATGGAAGAACTGTTACCTTACCCAGTAAGGGTAACAGAACACTGGAAGAGGCTGCCCAGAGAGGTTGTGGGGTCTCCTTCTCTGGAGATGTTCAAAACCCACCTGGACACGTTTTTGTGTGATCTGATCTAGGTGGTCCTGCTCCGGCAGGGAGATTGGACTAGATGATCCTTTGAGGTCCCTTCCAATCCCTGACATTCTGTGATTCTGTGAACTCAGTGCTTGTAATGGAAACTTTTCCCTCCAGAAAGGCTCAGGATATCAGCTTTAACTGCTAAGGGAAACAAGCTCTCAGTTTTCAGCTTTTCTAAACTCTCAGGCCCAGACTACTGTAGTGACCATAGGCATGGCTGTCCTTTCAACACAGGGAGCTTTCTTCAGCTCTGTGCAGTGCAGACAGCATCCTACACATCACAGTAATCCCTCAGTCCTGTTACAGGAATGCCAAACTCCCAAAGCCATCAGGTCTGCGTGTAAAAGCTGGAACAGTAGCAATAGCAAATACACATACGATGGGGTGGGACAAGATGGAAACTAAGCGTTGTATCAAAGTTAACAGAATATCCAGCCTAACCTAAAAATTAAAACAAAGGCATAAGTTAGTGATTAGAGTCCAAAGAGTTTAAGAAATTAAACAGAATATTTCACTGGATCGGAGGCAAACAAGTAAATTGGGTTTTTAGAAATCAAACTTGGAGGCATCAAGGTGAGATGTTGTCAGACCCAAAAAGCAGATGAGAGAATGCATGCAAGGCATGGTTAGGCTGCAGAGCTCCTAATCACAGGATGTCACAGATGCACAACTCCAAGGGAAAATGGGACAAAGTGACAGAAAAGAATTGCATTAAGGGTCACTAACTACACAGAAACCGATCTCCAGATGAAGAAATCCCTGAGACGAACACAGGAGAAGCATCACTACCTGATGGTCCTTGTCCTTCCCTCCTCCCTTAGACAAGTGCGTTTAGACCACTTTACCTAGTCCTTAGCAGGACAAACACTGCTTCCTCAACGCTTTCCATGCATCAGGACAGGGGGGCCTGTGAGGAACCAGCCCCACAGATCAGCTAGCCAAAGCTTTCCCCTCTCAGGACTTGAGTTTCATCTTTTCACTTCCAACACTTATAAGTCAGGCCACAGCTCAGAGTCCACCACCCATACAGAGCCGCTCGTGTACTGCACATACCGTTATATTCTGGGTAGTGTCGGCAAAACTCTCCATTGTTTCACCCAGGGCTGAGTCGACAGACTGAATTCTGGAAGAAAAGTGAGCTTGGCTAGCTTGTTTGTGAAGTGTTAGTACTTCTGATGAAACTCAGAGATATTTACCAATAAAAATGAACCTCAGGATTCCCTCTTTTGCAGCTTTTTGTTCAGCATTTGTACTAACAGTATCTTTTGTATAGGAAAGGATCGCTTCCTTCCACCACCTCTGACCCGTAGATACAGACGTGATCAGAGGGCACATCTTATTCTAGATCCTGGTACAGGTATCTCAAGCTACTTTCCTGTCCTGCACAACTTCCCAGGCAGAGAGGCCTTCATTGCACCCTAGTCCCAATTCCAAACCCTCACAAGGCTGCAAAGGCTCCATCAATGGACACTGAGTGGAGATTCCATACTGGCCTCCGAATACTTCCCCATACACCAGCGAGGGTACCACTAGCCTAACTAGTGCCCTCTTTGACCATCAGAGGACCTGTGAGCATACAGGACAGCCAGTAGAGACATACCTTCGCTTTTGTTGGTTGCAGAAAGAACTCAGTTTGAGCAACTGTGCCTTCCAGAAGTCCTAAAAAAAAGTCCCGGAGAAAATCCTCATTACTTGGGAAGGGATACCTCCACAGGCTGGCACATGAGAAGTCATACACACCATTGCGTCCTTCTCCATGTTTGCCAGGACTTGAGTTTCCTTCTCAAGACTGGCAAGCTCTTCAACAATAATCTTCTTGAAGGTCTCCAGCTTACTCAGCCTAGTGATGGAGAAGAGAAACAAGTTTGATGCTTTAACATGCAATAGCACAAGGCAGGTGACAACTCCTTCAGCATCAAACCTGCCTTTAGGCAGAAGCAAACATCCTTGCTGAACTACACAGGGGAGTCTTGTTCTCAGCTATGTCACAGAGCACATGAATAGCTGTACCAGATCAAACTGAAGATGAGTTGAGCTAAACAGCCTGTCTCCAATAGCAGCCAGTAACAGGCCCAGGACACAGCGTACAACAGGGTTCCCAGTGCAATACTGGCCCTGCATACCCTCCCAGCCTCCAGGGATTTCAGCAGAGATTTCCCAAGCTGAAGACAACATCTTGGCACAAATAACGTTTGATGGGTTTTCCTACCATGGGTTTGATGTACACACGATGTTGCCACAGGATGGCATGATTGCTTGGGTTTGCCACCGTTCCCCTGGCATCAGGATTCCAAATCATCATCTGAGGCTGACTTTAGAAACTACCCTTCTGTGGTAGGACAGATTTGGCACAGCTCTGTCCCAACTATCCTACAGCTCTGGTTGGCTCCAGGTGACTTAGTTAACAACATCAAAGTATGGCAGCAGCCCATCACCATCAATTCTTATCTTCCACCCCAAAACGCTCCCTGGTTTTGCTTTTGGAACACAAACTTCACCATGTACCTTAAAAACATGCAAATTCTTCTCATAGAGATCCTATCAATACCAGGGATTTTGCACTTTAAAGGCTATTATTTAATCCTACATTTGATCTGAATCCTGCAAACCAAACATGTAGTAGAAATGGAGGCCTGATAGACTTACTCATATCTTCGGCTGTGCTTGTATATAGCAAGCTTACAACAAATCCGTAACTATTATAATTGTTGTTTTTTATTTAGTTCCTATCTAATAAATCTGACAACCCCCATAAAGCAAAATTACCTGATTAGAGCCCTATCTGGTGAGTGCCTGTAAGTCCACCAGCCAGCATTTGTTTTATGCACATGGAAACAATCTACAGAAACGAGTCTATAACAGACCTCTTTTCTTCTCCCTCACTTCATTAAGTAAATCAGAGACTGGCTTCTCTTAAAATGCATAGAAACAGAAGCCACCAAGTGTAACGAGGGTTTTTTTAACAGATTTGTGAACACTGATGGCAATCAGAAGACAGTCCAAGGACTGTTCCATCAACTGCTCCTAACTCAAGCTTGCTTCGCATTAATCCATCCACTCTCCCCTTACAGAAAAAGCAGAATAAATCACAGGAGCTACGAGCTATGCTTCTGAAACGCTTCTTACAGAAAAAGAAGAGACACACATAAGCTATTTTACCTTACAAACCATAATAAGCACAGTAGCTTACTGTCAGGTTCACTTACAAAGAGGCATTTCTTTTCATATCAAAGTTTATGCAAAGCTGAAGCTGTTTTCAGCCAACAGCAGACAGTTTACCTGCACTCGTGTATCTGGTTCGGCAGGCCAGACATATTCTTCTCCGAAGTCCTCAGGGCGTTCTGTGCACTGGTCTCCATCCTTTTGTACCGGGACTAACCACAGGATGCACCATTAGGGATGGGCCCAAGCCAAAACCTAGAAGTCTAGTTTGCAAAATGTTTCCCTGGAACACAAATCCCTCCACAAGCCATCTTTCAGCTTAGCAGAAACCATCTTAAGTCAAATTCAAGCTGAAGTGAGATGACACGTAGGCAGGGTACTGCAAATACGGACTGATCTCATTCAACCACACTAGTTACACCAACAGATCTCTCTGTAACCCATGCAACTTGTGGTCAAGGTCCAGCCACCGAAGAAGTGAACTTCACCTATACTCCAACACACTTAATTGTACAAAACCAGGTCTTTGTTAGTACAACTTCAGACCAGCATTAATGCAAACAGCATACATTTTAATCATAACTCATCAAGGACTAGTGCTAAAAATTTAGCACGAACACTAACACCAACTAAAAGTCATAATTGCACAATACAAAGTGCTGATCCAGTACAAATATGCTCTTGGGCACAAAATATAGATGAGATATTCACACCAATTCCCCTGGTGATAAAAAGATAATTTCATTTACTATGAAAAAATGCCAGACACGGTCCGCATGTTACAAGAGTGCACGTTACCGAGAACAATTTCTTTAGTTGGCCAGTAAAGCTTTCAAATGCAGTAATCACCCCCGAATCAACGTCATCTTCACGCAGTATCTTGGAAAAAAATGCATCACCCACACCACCATCCATCTCCTGACCTAGGAGAAAGCATATGCCCAGTTAGTACCACGCCGGAGAGCTTATTGCAATATAAATGCTTCTGCTACCAAAGGTTTTGTCATCCATATGAGCAACAACACTTGCTAGAGAGCTCGATTTTCAGTCTTGCTCTCCTAGAGCTCACAAGCCGGAGAGAAACTGCCCCAAAACACACTGAGAAAGACTTGTTAGAAAGCAGCATAGAAGAGGCACGATACTAACCAAACGCAAAGAGCAACATATTTACAGATAAGTGAAAAGCACAGCACAAGAAAAAAAAAAAGTCAGGCCACTATTTTCCTGTCTTCTACTTACTCATTGCAACTAAAGTCAACCCCCTTCTGTTTTGAGTCAGCAGCGTTTTGCAGTTACTTTACCCATTACCTGAACACTTTTTTCAGTTTGTTTTTTGTTTGTTTGGGTTTTTTAATAGCTCTGGACAATCACTGTTCAGAAAGACTAGCAAGTGCTGGCATCATTGAGCAGCTTCCCGAGTGGATTGTGGTTAGAGGCCAAATTTCCTTATTCACACCTCTACGTATGCGTCATCCAATGGCAGCGCCGCAATACGTGCCTTCTGTTACATTTTGACTTTTGTAGAAGTAGCCTTCCTAAAAAGATATCTCTCGTCAAGCTCCCACGTGACTATGATTTCTACCATCAAAAAAGAAACACTGAAAGCATTTGAACAGTTCACCTTAGTTGCCAACTTGACTTTACCTGTTTGGATCTCCTCTTTCTTCTCTACTGAATCAAAAAGTTTCCTTGGTTTATAGGAAACGTCAGAGGCCAAATTACTTGTTTCCTGACTGGAAAGTTTAGGCTTTTTTGTGACAGTGCCACTTAATACACCTAGAAAGAGAACAGATGTTTCAGAACAGACCTGTTCTTCTGCATGAAGTACATAGCAACACCTACCAGCTACTGAAGCAAAAAACACCACCGGAACTACCAATCCTGCAGAAAAGCAGGCAACTTCATTTTAGGGTCTGGCATCAAACTTACAGGACAAAACAAGACTTCACCAGCAAGTCTCCTCCCTCACAAAAGCAGGCAACTAGACTACCTAGTGCTATGCAGATAACTGGAAAGTTATGTATCTCTGTCTTTCAGACAACTTCGTTTCTTGCCCCGCTACTCTAACTCAAAAGAAAACTCTTGCCCTGCTTCTCCCCCTCTCTTTTCCAGCCCAAGATCATAAACCGTTTAGGTTGATTTGTTCATGAGCTAATCTCAGCTGCTGCTTAAAAAAAATTGCTTAAATACATATAAGAAAAACACTTCACACCCGTAACAGCCTTCTCTTCAGCAGCTTCACTAGAGTTGCCATACAATTACTTTTAACCCAGGAAAACTGTTAGGAACACAATGAGGGAGGTTGCAGCCCATATTTTAAGGAAAACCTGTGAAAAAAAATCATGTCTTTGTCTCACTGTTCACTTTTCTGAGCTCAATGAGGTGTTTGTGTTTGACCAGCCACCTCTCTGGAGTCTCCATAAGGCAGGAAGGTGGTGGAGCCCAGGACAATGGCGACAGTCGGACCATGAGGAGCACACTGCAGTAGACTTAGAGTTTGTGGAGCGAGTGTTCAAATGCAGTCACAGACCACACTCAAAATTTCCAAACAAAATCCCACTTCTGCCTTCACACAGTCCCAACTCCTCTCCAACTGCGCAGTAAGCAGTGATAAAGTCCTCAGCACTTACCTTCCCTCAAAGTTAAGCAGGTAAGAGACATATTGGAAACACAAACATAGCCAGCTAACATGAAAGGGAATGCTTTTGTCTGAGACAAGCTTCAGTGACTCAGTTCATAGTTGCAACAATAACTTTAAGACATCTCTCTCAGAACTACATCAGCATCAGGAATATTAGGATGAAGACAGCCCATTGCTGTTTGACTTTCTTGAAGTTTGATTGTTTCAAATCACAAAGAGACTGTGTTGCAATTTTGAATCAGGTTGTGCAAGTTCTGTTTCATCAAAGAAAGGTCCTTAAATGCCACTTGCCTAGAGAAAGCTACAGCAGTAATACAAGCCATCATTTATCAAACACTTATAATGATGGTCTATGTCCATATTCTTAGGTAAAAAGAAAGTAAACAACTTTCAGAAATGCCTTTTTTTTGTTCAAAGTTGCACTGCACTTTCAAATCATTAAAAATTAGAGTTTGGGCTGCTGCTTTTACTTATTTCACATATTTTCTCTTGGATCACTGGGTTTGTAAATCCCCAGCTCTCAATAGCTACACTAGTAGTTCCCCTGTGTTCAAGGGCAGGATTTAAGAGTTAGTGATGAACACGGGAATGTACACAAAAAGCATCTTGCCATAGCCTGTCATGATACATAGAACAGAGAAATGCAAGACATTTCTTATTCAAAAAGCATCCTTCAAATATCAAAAACGCCAGTGTCTACTCATCTTCAAAAGAAAAATGACAACTCCATCAATAACCCTTTCTACTTTTTAAACAGCTATTCCATGGTTATCAAGACTAACAAACCTGAGTCTTTCCGCTTTAAACTTCCTTCTTCTCTTGACGCTTTGTCAGATGCATCATTAAACTTCTAAGGAGAGAAGGAAGACACAGTAAGAAGGTGCCCACCCTGCACTGCAGACAAGCTGCCAGGGGATTATCTAGTTATAGGAAGCAAAGTGACATGATGCACTGATGTTAGATAAGTAGCCTAATGGCAGACGAGGAGGAGTTCAAGCGCTGCATACTGCACCTGCGTGGCCTTCTCCTCATCACTGGAATGGCTCTTGGCAGATTCATCAACTGACAGCAGACCCCCTTCGAGCTCCTCTGAGAGGATTTCGTCTGTGTGAGAGATCAGCCAAACACAAACTAGAGGTTGAATCCTATATGGACTAGAAACCTCAGTTTAATGACATACATAGAAAAAAAGAAGCCACCACCTTCTTTCTCTCGTCACACAGGGAACAGACAGTGACTTAAACACTGTTCAGAGGCCGTTTTAAGAAATAAAACTTAAAAAGGCTGCCAGTTAAGTTCATTCCTTCACCTCTCATTAGCCCCAGCTAATGTCCTCCCTGCTCAAGAGACACTATCTACAAACAATATCCAGCCCTCATAACCATTACAAGAAATACCACAAGACAGAATTCTCATGAAGAAAACCTGAGGGAAAAAGGCAATATTTCAGAAAATTCTAAAAACCACACACCCAAAAAGCACACACTCAAACACATCAAAACTACTTTTCTAATGCACTGAAGAAGATTAAAAAAGAAATACCAGCAAGATCCACTGTAGGTAAATCATCTCCCTTGGAGCTGGATGTGCTTTTTTTCCTTAGCATCTCCTTTTGAGCTCTCCGCCTTGATGGTCTCTGCTAAAACAAACCCAAATCTAAGTGTGTACTTTATTTAAACATTACCACAGAAGTAGGGGGGTTGGTTTTTATACACACTAAGAGCAGAGATATATTTGCAATATGCCTAACACAGACAGTTGTCCCCAACACTGAAGGAGATCTGTGCTCTGAAGTTCAACGCATGCGTAAGTTCTCCCCTTACCCATTCGAGTCATATATTGGATGAAGTTTTTCATAAGCAGAATCAAAGCATTTTAATCAAGAGGGAAAAGATAAAATTTCCAGGGATAAAATAAAAGCTTTTAATGCAACTACCAGTTCTGGAGAGGTTTTTTTTCCCCAAATCTTCTGTGTTTATTATGGGGATCTTTCCAAAACATTTGATACACAGCACTTAATGGCTAGGCACTAGAGAAGGTCTAGCATTGCTAAAGTGTATTTTATTTTGCTTTATGTACGTCTGGTCCATTAATTCCCCCATCAGTATAATCCAGAGTTAGCTCTCCCAGAGCTATAGCTGAAAGTGGAGAAGGACAGTGTATGACCCAGGACTCAGCATGAGCATAGGACTTGGAATAAAAGCTCTGAAAGTTGCCAACAAAACGCAGAGGAGAACATGAGCATTTCTAAGGCACTGGCTGGCAGGACAGGGCAGAGGACAGCGTGGGGACACAGCCTGGTAGGACCCAACTGGGATTTCTATAGGTATTTGGATAGGCAGCTCCAGCTCTTGGCATAACCCTAGACCTGAGCTCATTCCTGGTGGAGTGACACCAGCATCAACCAAGGCAGGTGTCACACCAAGCACGCTAATTCCTGCCCAATTTTCCATCTATCACAGGTAAATATTATCAGTTTAGAACAACTCGCTTAGGCCTCATGCACAGTTGTTTCTATGAAGCTTCACACGTTTTCCTAGGACCTCCTTGTTCCCCCAGCATCCAGTAGACCAATACAGTCTCAGCAACACTTGGTAGGCAGATTTGTCCATCAGAATATTTGAGAAGAAAGATAAAACCAGTTTATTTAATTCCCACTCATTTGTACACGTTTTGCATAGGTAATATTTTTAAGTCTGAGACATCTAAGCATGACAGCTCCTTACCTTCTTTGTCTGGTAGTCACTGCCGCTACTTGCGGAAGACACTGGAAGCACTACAAGGAAAAAAGCTCACGTGGTTACTGACAACATAGCTGTTATCCAACAACAAAGGGATTAAAAAACCTGTTGTAAGAATTTCATGAAGAGTTTTTGCACATACCTAAGGAACATAACAAGATCAGTATCCTTGAAGCTGCCAGGATTGATGAGAAGGGAGACTTTTTAATCAAGAACCGTCTGCCCTTGAAGGGAACATCCCAGAGAACGTATAAACTTTGTTCTCATGTTTTTTGAGCTGTGAACATGCACAGCAATGACTTGGGGAAAAGATAATTCTGGCAGGGGGAGATCGCGACCACCAACTCACAGACCACCTGCCCTAAACATACCCCAGCCCCAAAAGAAAGGGGTAGTTGCCAAAAAAAAAAAAAGAGGCCAACTCAGCATCTTGTGGAGTGGTCCCCAAATCCCAGCTGGCACACACAGGCTGGCACTGGAGTGAGAACAAGTCCTCCCATGGAAACACAGTATAAAACATAGTTTCTCCTTCAACTTTCTTTTGCTTTTTCATCCCTATAGAGATCGACCATTACCTGAGCAAGGCTCATCCTCCCTGAGAGGGACAGAGAGATCCCAAGTCTTTCAGGTCAATTAAGTTTGAATTTGGAGGTCCCAGTAGCTAGCACAGCCACAGAGCTTGGCAGCAGAGGAGGTTTAGCTGTTAGTTGGGCTTGGGCAGAGAATGCCACCAGAGATCATCCCATCTCATTTTGTAAGTCACTCAGAGGACAATTGGCCTGTGAGTATATAAAAAGGGGAGCAGAGCGCCATGGTCTGCAAACTGTGTGGGTTTTGGTTCTTCAAGGTTTATTCCCCAAATCAATTGTATTTCTGGACTCTAAAGAGATAAGGAGAGGAAAGTTGTAGGGTGAAGGTATGGCAGCCCCAAAGAGATCCTCCTCCTCCTGTGTTCAAGAGCACCAACACAGCCATCTGCTCAGCACCCACAGACTCTTCAGCCCCATTACAGATGGTTGCATTCATACAGACATTCAGGTGCCTAATTTCCACCTGGACATTAGAACTCCAGTACGTTCACCAGAGGGAAGGGGACAGGAGCCTGTGTTTTCAAGCACAAGGATGCGTGATGCACCTCCTCCACAGAGCACCCCTTGCTGCCAGCCTTGGGCTTGCTCTCCCCAACTCGGATCAGGAGTCAGCCAAATCCTCCTTCTCAAACCACCACTGGCCACTTTCTTATCTGCAGTACTGTATGTCACACATAGCTAAGTGTCAACAGAGGACCAAGCTTACCTTTTAATTTGCTTCTCACTCTGAGTCTTTTTCGGGTATAATCAAGAGGTTTTGACAACGACCGTTTCTGAGAGTCAAGGATCCAGCTTTTTTCGCTTTGACTGGCGCTTGTGTTTTCATTGTTGCTTTCAGAGAAAAGATGTTTCCTGTAATCAGACTAAAGACACTATTAAGAGTGAGTCCTGCTCAGTCGAGGTCCCTCTGTCCACCCAGAAGCCCCCTAGTCATTCCTCTTCATTTACTACCAAGTTATTCCATTTCTTCATCCCCACAGTGCAACACCTGAAGTATTTTAAAGGTGCGAAATCTGTCAAAACAGCAACAATTGACCGTCAAACCAGCAGCATTAAGACACCAAGAGGCAGACACTTGCCCTTGGCCATCATGGGGTTTACGGCATCCTTCATTTCATCTCCCACTTCCTCCTGCATCCAAATAAAAGAGCTCTCGCAAGGAGGAAAGCCTCAACATGTGAGTTGCAGCCAAGAGCACAGCGAGAAAACACACACACAGATGTTCACTTGCTGGTCTGGCAGTCCTGGTGCACCTTGAGCACTGCTTTCAGTAGCAACAAGCTGGTTGTTTCAAGGCTCCCGGGCTCACATTCCTCCACCTCCATGCTGGATAAGCCTCAAACTTCACCCTCTTTGAGGGTGCAACCAATTCACGTTGGTGGACACGCACAGCAATAAAGCACGCACGGCTTACCGACGACCTTCTCTCAACCTTGTTTGGTTCCTCATTCTTGTTTCCCGTTTCATAATTCCTGCCAAGTAACCCATAAAGACCCAAGTTAGCCTGGCAGAGGCTGTGATAGCACATCACAGCAGCACTGAAGGGACAGAGCCAAACAGCAACAGCAGGGCTCCTTAACAGATCAGCAGGACCACCAAACTATTAACATGCAGTCATTAGCAAAGTTCTTCTTTGGTTGGTTTCTGAAAGTAGCAATCAGGGATACCTGAAATTCACCAGGGATTCATCAGCAATCAGGGATACCTGAAATTCAGCACTTTTTAAAAGAAAAATTAGGCTACATACTTAAAGATGCAGCATCTGGCAGCTTGCTGTAACTGAAGGTGGCCAAGGCAAGGCAGAAGGTTTAAGTGTTTTTCAAAAATTAAATCAGTAACTTAGGCATATGATCAGGAAAGACGGATGTTCAAGAGTTAAAGTCTTACCATTGTCAAAGGGGACAGGAGTCATTCTCTCTAGTAACTTTTAGATCTCAGGTACTGTTCAAACATTAGTATTGACAGCATCCACAGATACTGTGGCAGCTAAGAAAGGAACTATTTATTAGAAACACCACACAGGCTTTTTGATCCCAACTTAAAACAGTTTAACTAGGGCAATGAACTCTTCTTTCACAGAGCAAAAGGTTCGATGGTGTATGTAAAATCCTGTACCTCTGATTTTGTGAAGAAAATTTCTGGCCAAGAATCTTTCCTTTGGCTTCAGCGACCTAAAACAGAAGCAAGTATTTGTCTTAAAGTTCAATTACCCTGTAAAATAATCTACAAAATTAGAATGAATCAGGACTCAAAAGTGCTAGAGGAGGAACAGATTATGAGTCCAGCATGGAAATTCAACCTTTGTAATGGAGTGGGATTTGTTGATTGAAACAGTATCATGACTTATAACAGACAAACATTTGTCTTCTTAAATGGAGTTACTTTCTCCTTTCCTTGCTTTATGAATAACACTCATTTTAAGCAATAACATCATAAGAAATGCCATTTTAAGTACTAACACCCCTAGTAGCAGTGTGTTGTAAGCGCGGCACGCAGTACCTGGACAGCCTTTGGACAGGACTGCGGAGACACCGGGCAGGGTACCATGAAGCAGAGTTTTACACTGACACACACTGGCAGTAGCAAGGACTGGATGATGCCCAGTTTACAACAGAAATTTGGGGTGTCCCCTTAAGCACCCATCACCTTTGAATTAACAGGCAGCAGTGACAGCACTTGCACCAGGGAAGATGCTGAAAGCCAAAGGGTTTGTACAGTGGAGCAACCTTGACAGAAGCCATCAGGAATAAGTTTTTAGCTTCCTTTTTTTACAAGGGCATATAGTGATAGGACAAGGGGCAATGGCTTTAAACTGAAAGAAGGGAGATTTCGATTGGATGTAAGGAAGAAATTCTTCACTCTGAGGGTGGTGAAGCACTGGAGCAAGTTGTCCAGAGAAGTTGTGGATGCTCCATCCCTGGAAACATTCAAGGCCAGGTTGAATGAGGCTTTGAGCAACCTGGTTTAGAAGAGGGTGTCCCTGGCCATGGCAAGGGAGTTGGAAGTAGGTGATCTTTGAGGTCCCTTTTCAACTCAAAACATTCTATGATTACTAGGAAAAACTGCACTAGTTAAAGTTTTAAAGCAAAGCAATTCATTCTTATTCAATTTTTCCTAACAGTTTGAAAATATAAATCAAGTTTATACAAAACATATCAAAATAAAATTTTTGCAATGGCTTTAACCAGGGATTTCCAATGTGCCAAGCGTGGCTCAAAATGGATTTCCATCTCTTCTGGTTTAGCCCAGCAGTACAAAGTGAAGGATGCTCAGCAATTTGCTTTCAATATTCAGTAAAACGCAAACAGAGGTTGGACTTCAATTGTAAAGATATCCCACAGCCTCACTCAAGCAACAGCTCAAATTCCTAGTGCAGCTGGTTTTATCACAGAGTTCCCGCCACAAGATTGAAGAAGTGATGAGCACTCCCCCAAAATACATCCATGTATAGCACCATACAGAAATACAGGAACCTCAGATTCCCAGTTGTCTGTTTTGCTGTGACAGCATATCCATCCTTACTGGATTTCTGCAGAAAGAGATATCCCCTGCTTCAAGTTACTACTCAGTTAGCTGCAGAGCTGAGACCTTAGCACATCTCACAGCTCCTGTCTCAACATTACCTTTTCATGACTTGCAGAGTCTGAGTTTTCAAAGTCATAGATTTGCTTCCTGCAAGACAACAAATACATGACAATGACATACAATCGTAAAGAGTCGCCCTACAGAATTTCAATAAGAATATGGGGGGGGGGGGGATAATGTGGTTTGTTTCCACCCCCCCTCCCTTATGAACTCCATTATTGTCCTGGTTTCAGCTGGGACAGAGTTAGTTCTTTTTAGCAGCTAGAAGAGCTCCGTGTTTTGGTTTTAGTCTGAGACTTGCTCTGAGAAGAATGCTGACAGCACACTGATGTTTATAGCTGGCATTGAGACCTCAAGGACTTTTCAGCTTGTTGTGTTCTTGCCAGTGTGCAGGAGCACAACGGGATAAGGGGGAGCATAGCTGGGACAGGGGGTTCACGATTCTCCTTATGATTTGTACTTAGACTTAAGATTGAGGAACAAATTGGCCAATTAGTATTCCATATCATGCAGCGTTGTGCCCAGTATAAAAATGAGGGTCAGCCAGAAAGAAGGGCTTTTGCTCTTCTGGGGCTCTCACTCTCAAAGTACTCTCTCTCTGGCTCTATTTTCGGCCGTCTTGCTCATCCAGGATTGCAGTGTTGGGGCTTATCTGTTTTGGGATTGTTAGTTCAGGACGAGACAGGCCCCAGTCAAGGGGTGGTGAGCAATTACACCGAACATCACTCATCTGTATACACTTATCACTGTACATGTATGTATATATATCTCTATATTAGTAGCAGCAGTATTAAATTGCTCTTATCTCAACCCACAGGTCTCTCTCCCTTTTCTCCTTTAATTCTCTTCCCCACCCCCAGGGAGTGGGGGAGGGTGAGCGAGCGGCTGTGTGGAGTTTAGTTGCTGGCCTAAACCACAACAATTATACAGTAAACACATACTTTATATGTCTAAAAATGCTGGTTTCTCAGCTTTTTTTAAAAAAAATACTTGTTCCTTTCCTGCTTACTCTCTATTATTGTCTGTCTTGCTTCTGACTCTTCCAATTGTAAATTTTTAATTTTGAGATAAATATTTAGAAGATATAAGTTAGCCTATCCCTGTTTATGTAGTGGGTATTTTATTCCTACATCACCAATAATAGCATGTGGGTGGAAGGAAGAAATCATGAATGGAAAGAATTTCAAAAGCACTTAAGAGGAAAAAAAGCCACTTAATTCCCTTATTAAAATTCTAACATTTAATGTTTGTTCTCTAATCACTTCTCTGTACGCATCTAGATTTTATTTTCAAATCTTTCAATATTTAAACTTAACTGTACCCTTATTTCAAAAAATAACTATTTAAAAAAGAAATCCTACAATCGCTGCTCAACATACAGTACACCCTCCTCTTCTTACTAGTGAAAGAATAGGAAGACTAAAGAACTGTGACCCTCGTTAAAACTTCCGGAAGGAAAAAAACGCTCATTTTCAGATGAGACACTAGAGGGAGCAGAACGACCAGAATAAGAAGTTTTTCTCCACCTCTGACTTCCATACTGCTGCTCCTGTTTAACAACGGGTTATTTGCTGCATCAAGTTATTTGGTCTTAAAACACAGAACTTGCAGTGATGAATGAAGTCCTGCATCAATTTCTCCCATTCTTACCTACAATCAATCGAAAAGTTCACCTAAACACTTGGGGATTTTTTTAAGCCAAGAGTCAATAGACTGAAGCAAGAGACCCCAGGAAGCCTCAGAACAACCCGAAGCACAGCAGGGATCCTCATCTACAGCTCGCTTGCTCTCCTGCCCAGCAGCAGATATTAACTCGCCCACAACACCTGGCAGAGACCGCAGGAGGAGGGTGCCACAAGATGGACTCCCAGTGCCGCAGACTGCATATGGCTCTCAAACCCTCGAGAGCTTCTGCCCACAGTGCCACTAGCTTTGAACACGAGCAGAACGATGTGTGGGTGTGAAGGAAGGGGACAAACAGAGAAAGAGACTGTCCTTGAAACTCCAGGACACACGATGCCAAAGAACTGGGACAATATCTGAAAAAGTTTAGGTATTTGTGAAAGAAGCTGCCACTCATAACTCAACCCACTGGAGAACGGGAGGGTTACGGCCGGGTGAGGAAAAAACAGAAAAGCCAATGTGACGTAGTATCACAGAGGTGAGGGCTTTTTTGGCAGACTAGAGCTAGCTTCTGAAGTCTTCATTGCTTTGGGGACCCAGATGTTCCCACTGAGACAAGATATGACCCTTCACAGACTCCTGCTTGTTTTGCTGCCTGTTCTGTTTGGACAGCCCACCTCATGGGCATGCCCTCCCTCCATCAGTGCTAGAAATGGTCTAAAATCACCTCGTACACCAGACTCTGCACGGGCACAGGGCTTGTGTGTCATACCTGCCTTCCGTCCTCTGCTTGGCCAAACTTGTTCTTCTGTTTCTCTTTTCCCAGGTAACATCCTTCTGAAAAGAAAAGAGTTACAGGATTGAAAACCATGATATGCAAAGTCATGTTCTTGTCCTAAAGCCTGCTAAAAGCAGAGATAAAACATGCCACAAAACTTCATTCCTCCTGTCACAACAACAGTCCAAGCACAACTGTTTCCTGCAGTTCTTTCCTACCAGAAAGTATGGGACTCTCAGCCCTGAAATTGGGTTGAGGATACAGAAAGAAGTAGTTTTAAAGCTTCGAATTCACTGTGCAGTGGGCAAGTGTTACAAAACTTTTGAACTGTCTGTTAAAAACTAATTTAAAAAAATTTTAAGCCTGGTATCTAGAAACATAAACCCAAGAACAAGTCTAAAATGTGATTTCTTATATAAGCTAAGCACCCGCTCCAAATTAAAATTATTACTTTGGGAATTTAATTTCTCATGTCTACTGCATAGATTACTTTAATACCTGGACACATCAATAGAAGTTTTCCAGGTGCTCAAGTTGTGTAAAGAAACGCAATTCCAGATGGCTCAGTTACTTGCTGTAAGTTTACTCCAGTTGCAAGTACCTACGCCAGGAGTGCAGAGACAGATCTAGCATGGAAGGATCATTAGAGCTCAGAGACAAGACTGAATAAAGACATCTGTAGACTTCCAAGACCTGCTTCCCTTCAGGAAGCAAATCTTTGCTCCTGCAGACCACACGTAAGTCTTGTGACATGCGAGTTGGTCCCACACAGAGCCAGGCTGGTTGCCCAAACACCACGATCCTGGAGACAAGCACAGCACACCATCGCCAGGGGTTATATACTGAATTAACTCAGCTGAGCTTGAATTACTTGGTTGGGCCACACCAGAACAAGGTTGGCAGCTGTTGCCCTTGCAGCTCCCTCCTGGTGCTAAAAGACACGTTACATCAGGTATGAATGACACTACATGGGCTTGGGACACCCCTCGAGTGTCCCTTCTGCAGCTCCACCAGAGTCTCTCTTCTTTGCCCCCTATCTCTTCACTCAGGTGGGCCCCAAGGCAAACATACCTTTGGTGTTGACTCCTCCACGGGTTCTTCTTCTAGGGGCTTCTCACTGGGGATGAGAGGACAAATGAGGGAAATGCAGTGCTGAGAGACTGTTCATTTGAAGACCAAAGAGTCAGTTTATGAAGTACTAAGAGAAAGAAAACTTGCACCAATTAGCATCAAAGCAGCTGTTGAAAAGGTGCATAGGGAAGAAAACTAGTCAGTAGCTCTACAGAAGTTCAACTCATTATAAGAAACGCTTTCCTTCAAATCTCTGAAAAAAAGTATTACTAACACCAAGGTGAACTCAAATTCACATGATCTTTCACAAAATCATGGTCCTCATTATGAGTAGCTACCTATCCGGTGAGCTCCAGTTACACATCTAACTCTCTGTAATAGAGCTGTATGCTCATCTTGTAGTTGGATTAAATCAATGATGAGAGAGAAAGTCACACCAAAGTAGTAGCCAAGCCAGTAACCAAACATCACCATTGTGCAACTCCAAAGTGCTATAAACTCTGGGCAACCAGCCTTGCTAGCCAGGGAGGCAAAACAGAATTATTTTTTTTTTCCATTTAATTGATGGAATAAACCTCAAAATCACATGTATTAAAAAGCCAGGGGAGGAAAAACAAAAATGCAAAACCAGAAAAAACACCCACCTTGCAACTTTTTGTTTGCGAGACACTCACCTAGGCTTAGCTTTCGTCCTTGGAGATGGAGTTTGGGACTTTTTTGCTGAAGGAGGCAAGGAAACTACAGCTTCACCCTCTGGAACTACTATTAAACACTTTATCTGCTTCTGCTGCAAGGCCCACAAAAGCAGAGCCTTCACCATGTCACCTGGGTGACGCTTAACTAGGTCAGACTTAAGGAATGGAAGGGAGCCATGCCTGACCTGAGCCTTGGTTACCATCTTCCACATCAGTCTGCTGGCTCACTGTAATCATGGTGACACCATTAACCATTTTCTGTTCGGAGACATGAAACCATGAACAGAGCATCCATATATGACCAAAGACAGTGGGGAATTTTTAGGAACAGAGATTTTCAGTGCTAGCCCGTGGAAACAGCTGGATGACAGGTTCATCATTAGCCACACATAAAAATGTTTTAGGTTGCATATAAGTGATACTATGAGCTTCTCGCTAAAGGCAACCCACCATCCCCTTATAAGAGAGAGTAATATTTCTTCTTTTTAAAGCAGTTTTGCCAAAACTGCAGCTCTGGAGGTAAGTGTTTTTGGGCTGACTTCCCACCGATATAAGATGTAGTTTGAAAACATCAGATCTGGGTACAAACTTGTTTTCTTTGAAAGAAGGTTTTAACCACACCTATAAAAGAGCAGACTGGAGGAGAGGGAAAAGAGGCACAAGGAGTGTTTCACCATACACCAGACACTTACTGTTACAGCGCCTGTTAATTCTTGTCTGTGCGGAGAGGCTAAGTTGCCTGATAGAGTCTCTGTGTTTTCAGAGTTTGAAGGATCTCTCCTGCCCTGTGGATTAGCAGACTCAGGTATCGCTGCAGAACAGCAACAGGTTGATAAAGTCATTGTGGTAACTGAACACAGACACATGCACCTCCCTTTCCATTCTTACACACTCATATGAAAGCGTAACTGTACAACTTATTAGGCACGAACATCTCGAGATCATGTTTGACAGGACAAAAACATCAAGCATCTCCAAGTTACCCAGAGCAGAACTGCAATGCCAAACAAACACCATCTTAAGCCTACCACTTTCTAAGCCCCTTATACTGTATGAAGACATATAACTTTATTCTCTTATTGCTGCCTTGACTCTTAGCTCTGGAAGACATGGAACAACCTTTTGTGTCCAGCCAAGGCAACAGACCAGTGGTACCTTCCACCATCTGTCTCCCTACACTGAATCTCTACCCGCCACTGCAAAAACTGTTTCACTACAGATGAACTATCATCTGCCCTTTGTACTCCTTGATTGCTTCAAGTAGTACAAGCCCACCTTGTACTTCTGTGTATACTTCATGGTGGACACTGATGCAGGAGCTTCTCCCTCACCCACACCTCCAGAATCTGGAGGACTTCCATTCTAGCTCATTTTGGGCTGTAACTGGGGGGAAGTAAGAAGGACCAGTGAAGAACTTACTGTTCTCAGACATCCAGAGCTAGAAGTAGCTCTTTTGGGTATTCACTGGGAGTAATCTGAAATGCACAATAACTAAGAGGAAAGTAAACATTTCCTTTTAACACAGGCACAGAAAGAATGCTACCTAACCTAAGGGCTCTTCAAACTTGTCATTCATTTTCTGAGATGGTGAGTGGTATCAGTAGAAAGAGATGCGAGTTCATTGTCTTAGAAAACCTGGAAAGATCTGGTAAGCGAGTTACACCAGGAATAATCCACACAAAAAATCATCACTTTAAAAACTGAGGTACAGTCAGTTTTGCAGCAAGGACGTATCCCAGCCTTTAAAGAGGAAAGATCACTAAACAGAAAAAGTCATCTCCTGAATAATTTCATATGGAAATTGATCCAAGGAAGCATCTCCTGTTTAAGACCAATTTTGATCATGTATGCCTCTTGCCTTTGTACTGAAAGCAGCTTTTTTTCCTCAAACTGTGAGTCACAGCCTTGGTGGGGAGTGACAGAAGAACTGAGCAGGATAGAGAGAAAGAAAGGAGCTACTGTCCCTTCCCCTTGGACAAAAGCTGGGCTTGGACCTTTCTTTGGGTCAGGCACCCAAGTGTCAATGCCTGGACTTCAGGCTCTGTGTTCCCTCAACATCTATCATATTTGGAACAAAATTAAACTCAGCCAAATGATCCTGGAAAAAGACATCTTGCAAGAAACGTTCACTGGCAGCATGGGAAACTACACCAATTTGATCACGGAAAATTCAACGTGCCCAATCCAAAGAAATTCAAAGCGTTGGCTGTAGGCTGGCAAGAAGGAGGAAACAATGGCTATTCCAGGTCCAGCCGAGAACTTTTCCATACCACAAGGCATGCAGCTTCGTTCATAGCTGGGGCTCACACAGAGACCACCCTAAGGCAGAAGGTGCAGAAGATATTTACAGCAGCAGTGGCAGTGCCCCTGCACACGGCGGCGGGTCACCTCCTGCAGAGAGGAACCACGCTGCTGCTTGTCTCTCTGCAAACAGGGACTGCAGGTGAGCGTTTCTGCTCCCCCAGCTGCCCCTCCACAAGAGCCCCAGGCATCTCCAGAGCATCATCCACTCCATGTGGGGTAAGGGGACCAGAGCACACCCTTCTCTATCACATCACCTTGTTGAGAAGAAACAGAAGTTGCCACCCTGCAGGAAGCCTTGGTAGAGGCTGCCCCACCACATGCACCCTGCTGCGCAGGGGAGCGCATGTTAAGCACCAGGGTGCAAGTGCTGGTCCATCAGAGGACCTATGCTTCCGTGGGCACACAGATGCCAATGTCCTCTCCTGCGAGGAATGTCCCACAGCAGAGCCAAACCAGGAACCATGCATGGGGCAAGCAAAGGAGGATAGATGGGTGCGTTCCACTGTACTAGCAGGTGGAGAAACACTGCTGCACACTCTTTGCATGTCAGAGGCCTGCCAGCAGCTGAGATGTGCCTTGCCGGGCTACCTGCCAGCACATAGATCCAGCCTCCATGAGCTGCTCCCCTGCCCATGTGATCCCAGCAGCATGTGGCCATGGCTCCCTATCCTCACTCCCTGGGCTAGAGGGACTCGGTGTCCGCCACGAACACCGCTTACCAAGCTCACGAGACACGAAGAGTAGAAGATTGACCTTGGGGGTTAATTTTTTTTTTTTAAATGTGGTTAACTGCAAGATGTGGACTGCAAATGAAGATACTCCTTTTAAAAATGAACAATTTAAATTTCATAAAATAAAAATTGGAAACCCACCTGCTTCATTCTCTCTGACTTGCTTCCCAGCATGGACAGACTCCTCTTCAGCCTCATTTATCTGTTGGTGTGAATTAATCTCATGTGAAAGTGACCTTAAAAAAGCAGAATCTTTACCTAGTAAAGTCAGCTACTTAATAACAAAACTAACGGTTGTTAATCATCAGCAACAACTAATTGGCAAACCACTGGATGCTAGTTGACTTGACCATTTGCAAATGTCTCAGCTCCTGGAAGGATAAATGACAGCCACTACGCTATGACTATTGACTGTCATGTAAGTTTTTCTGCAAATCCAAAGTTAAACATGTTAAATTTACAAAAAAAACCCAAACAAACAAACCAAAAACACCCACCAAACCACATACATCCCCTATGTTTTTACATTAGCTTATAAAAAACTTGAGGATTTAAAACTACTCTATTTCTAATCTAGAAATACTATCTACAAAGTCAATCTAAGATCTGCAGCACTACTTTTCTCCAGGTTCTCATGTCAAAATTTGCTCATCCTGTGCAACATAATGCTTTGAGCTAATGTAAGAGCATGTTTATACTCCAAGTTACGCAATTAAATGCCATAAACTTTATTTTCCACTTCAAAAACTCAGCAAAAGTCATCATAGCACACTGACTGAATTGATTAACAAACCAGTTTAACCTTCCAGCTTTTAAACTACAAATTTGAGTCCTCTGAAAATTCTTTCCTTAAGTCTCTAGTCTCTCTTTCAGGCCAAAATTAAGAACATCTACATGGAGAGTCACTAATCCTCAAGGGAAAGACAGAAAAATAATAAACAGATATTTAAAGAATAAAAAAAACACCCACCCTGAATGTTTTTGCCCAGTGTATATCAAGTAAAATATAGTTTAGAAAAGAAAAAAACTCACTTTAACAGCTTTTACCATCATTTTTTCATCTCCCAGGACTTTTCTAAGTACACTTAAGATCTCAAACTCAGCACTGAACAACATTTTGATTTTTGTTACTTCTGTTTTGTTAAGAGTAGCAGGAATCTTCATATAAATTTTAACAATCTTTTGTCCATCATCCTCTGAGAAAAAAAAAAGCAGTTAAATCTAGTTTAGAGCAGGACATTCAGTCTATCACCCCAAAACCTTTCAAATAAGCGTCTGAGTTTTTTTAAGAACAGTCCCTTTCACATCTTGCCCACGCATTTCCAATTACTCTGTTCACTCATTTCTTTCTCCTTGCATCTAGATGATTATGCAATTTCCTAGCACATCTATAAACTGACTCCTCGACATGTCCTGCTTGGGTGGAGAAGGTGGGTGATTGTGCTAAATGGGCCCACAAACAGTCCAAGAAGCAGAGCTGATGCGAGGCGACCACCAAAGTGCATGATGGGGAGAGGGGGAGACACAGGACCTCTCTTTGATGATGGAGAGATTTTAGATTGGCTCCAAGTGTCTTGTGGACCCACAGCCAAAGAGAGGATAACACTATTTGGAAAACCTTACCCTTCACGCTGTAACTGCTGACCGCCTCTTTCAACAGTCTCACAGAATCCCAAAGAGCACCCTGTGAAAACCAAAGCCACCACATCAGAAGGGCTGAGCAAGCACCCACTGCACTAGGCAGCTAAACCAAGGCCACCTGGGCTTTGCTGTTACCTCAGTACTGTCCACGTAGAAAGTCACACTCTGGCTGCCAGCATTGAAATCAATCCAGAATTCCTCCAGCTTCTCATCCGACGGCTTCTTCACCTGGGGAAGCACAATGGTGGCACTGCCGTTCCCAGAAAAAACCCACAACTGCTGTATAATTCTCAGTTTTCTTTAACAAGACAAAATTGGAAGAAGTTGCCCTACATACAAGCGTACACGTACGCAGACCTTACAGAAATGAGAGTTGGGATCAACCTGCAAGATGGCAGCCTACTGCTCACCCAACCATACCCACATAGTCAGACATCCCCCTACACCAGCCAAGGGAAAGGCAACATGCAAACACTTGCATGTTTGTGATGGGAAAGAGTTTGTGAAAGTTTTCTGTGTTTCTAAGCACTTGAAATAAGCAGAAGCAGTGGAATCAGCTTCCATTGACTTGGTTTTGATTCGACACAACCATCAGGAATGGTACCACAAGTATGTTTAGAGACCAGTAAAGCAATCTGCAGGATCTATGACTGCAACTATGACCTCTCCTACACGGGCATCAGGCTAATCTTGTTTTCAGGCAGTCTGGGAGCAGCTCTGCTGGAGGAATCAGAGTTGTCCTATCCTCCTGTTTCTTTTTAGAGATCTCTCTTCTGTCATTACCACGAAGAGAAGTTCTGCCTCTATCATTTGGTTCATACAAAAGCCAAGTCAGCAGCAGTAAGTTGGGAGCTAAGTGACAAACAAACTTTCCAGCTAGAATTGAAGGTTACACTCTGCACTCCAGAAAATTAATTTTGAAAATTAATTCATTATTTTAATTAATTGTTTTAATAATTAATGAAAAACAAGACGGGGGGGAAACCCATACTACAGAAAGTAACATTTTAACAGCAGTACCGCTGTAGGGAAGGTGTCAGACCGTTAAGGACCATTACCTCCTTCATGTCAGCAAAAGCAGATATGCAAGGAAATGAATAGACTCTAGAAGAAAAGCAGATTTCAGATGATTCATAAAGTCAAATTCTGATGTTGAATGTAAGATAAAAATCACTAAGATAGGTTACTACCTTCAAATATTCAAGGTTATTGTTCAAAAAATACTTAATAAATTTCTAGAAATAAATCAGGCTTGGAGAAGCTTAGAGAATATAGTAATTTAGTAGTGACGCATTGTCTTCATTGATTTCACTTTCAAAAGAACCACCATTAAAATGAATAAAATCTCTTCCAAAGAACTTAATTATTCATATATGTGATATAAGTCCTTGTCTTTGGAATATAACCCAAGTCAGTTTACAGTCCTAGTTTTTCCTCTTCTGCAGTAACGACAGCACCAGTTCAGTCTGTTGGTTCACAGCTTACCTTCTTTCACCCCCAAGCCTTTCATTTAGCTGGTTAAGAAATTTTCTGCAGTCCTTCAAGACAAATGACATCTCATTAAAAATCCGACTACATTTCCTTTGCAAAGAGTTGTTCTATTGGGCAGTGTATCTTCTACTCCAGTTATAAGCCTTTAACTAGTCAGAGTGATGTCAAAAGCCATTGGGGAAGAAACACTCCAGTTGCTACAAATGGTTCAATTCAGCTTATGACCAGCAAGCCTCCAAACATAAACCACAAAAAATAACTTATTTATGCTTTAGAAGTAAAATAACTTAGAAATAAGAACTATTTTAATAATACACCATTGTAACTTCGCCAGATTAAAAAAAAAAACAAAACCACAAAAACCAACACCATGCACAAATAACTAAATAACTTTGTGTATTTATAAAATCAGTTTTGTAGGAACTTCTTACAAGGACATCCTCTGACTGAACTCAAACAAAGCTAGCCCCTATGCAGACTTGTCAAGCATGTTTTCAAAATAAGGACCCTCACCGTCTCAAATTCTCTATCCTTGATCTCTTTGAAAGCTTCAGCAAGATAGTTATCTTCAAACCAGTGGTGAACAAGGTCTTCCCTCCATTTTTTTGTCATTAACCTACAAAGTGCTTCTGAAAGGGCAACCTGAAGGTCATAATCTACACGGTAAACATAAGCACAGGGTAAATAATCCCCCCCAGCATAACAGAGGGTTATAGCATTGCTGCTCTTGCACAAATATGCTGTACAGGCATATTCATCAGCTACCTTCAGTTTCACCTAGGAAAAGAGGGGAGGGGAACAGCCAAGCATTAGCTCCAGGCATCCTCAGCACACACACACGTGCATCGGGAGATGTTCTTGAGCATCAGGGAGGGGATGAGAGCAAAGCCTCACCACTAACTTGCTACAATTAAGTTACACTCCACATAACACAGTAATGCCCTAGAAAGTGTTACTGCTAGGAGAAAAACAAAATAAATTAACTCAAGAGGTTATTAACCTTATTAGCTGAAATTCGTTCACATCATGGCAAAGTACTTAAAATTTATTTTTTAAAAATTAACAGGAAACATACCGTAAACATGTACATAAAGCTGATCTAATTACCTTTCTACATACATTAGTTTGGCTTTTCTTATTAGTTAATATGAATTACTAATACTAACCAGAAAAAAATAATGCATTGTTGCATATAACAATTTTTATTAATATTTTCTTAAAGCAACATCTAATTTTCCTCCCCAAAAATCAACTACCTACAAGGAAATAATTCAAATTATAATTCATCTATAATAAATAAGCAGAGGAAGTAAAGCCGGAGAACCCCAGCTCCATAAAAATAACCACAAAGTACTTCTTACCGCCAACCTCCAGTATAGTTTTTGCAAGGTCTTTCCTGAAACAACATAATGCAATGAGTTAAAGGGGAAATAACTTCAACTATTGTTGCAGGTAAGACAGTGTTTAGCTCAGGAGCTGGAAGGAAAACCACTTACGTGAGCGAGCACATCTCTTCAGACAGAGGGAATTTCTTTCTCTCCTCCCGCGGGACACTGTCAAGTATAGAGTTGAGAGTCCTCAAAGCCTTTCTCCCCACAGAGAAAGGGGCAGAATAGGAAGAGAAAGAATTCAGTAATGTATTTTTCACATTTTTTTCCATCTTTATTTCTGTGTGCACACATCTGTATTTTCTTCTCGTAGTATGAGTCTTACCTCTTGCCGCAGAGCGCAGCAAATATTTGCTTCTGTCACTAGACGCCCAAGTTCAGGTAGAAATAAATTCACCAGTTCTTTCTTTCCTAGAAAATCATTTGAAAGGTTACAGCTAGAAATGAGCTGGTCTCTGTATAAAAGATGGTTGAAGCAACTACAGTTCGTGGTGTTGAAGGAGTAAAACTATCCCAGGTGGGGATTCAGTTTGAAACAAAGCTTACAACTATCTAATCCTAGATAGAAAAGGGAACTGGTAACTTCTCTGTAAAAAAAAGCTCCAGATACTCAGGTCAGCAGCTAAAGTAACACTTAAATAGGTATAGAAAGGAGAAGCTACTTACTAACCACAACAGATAAATCCACAATATACAGTTTTTGACAAGGTCAATAGAGCAAACCAGAATTTAACCAGAACGCGCTCATGTCTGCTATGCTCACAGCAGAACAAGCTACAAGGACAAATAAGCTCAAGTTATCCAGTCTCCGTCATAATTCTTTGTTTTTACATGACTCATGAGCCTGGATCTTCAAGCATAGGAATACTTGCTCCTTCTGAAAGCACCTGCTCACCTACCCTAATGGAAAACCAGCTGCAGCCACAGACAAAATCCTGCCACCGAAACAAATGAGAGGCAGACAGACATCCCTCCACCTAGTTAGGATGGCTGAAGGGGTTACCTTATTCCACGGAGGTGGTTGCCTTCAGCAAGGGAATAACATCTGAAGCCACTACAAACAGATGTGCAAGAGCAGACTGCCCAGCCTCAAGTGCTTTCGGAAACACCTCTGACCAAATGAAATACTTGATGCTGACCATTTAAACAAGATACCACAGCTAGATTATGATTTTTTTTTTCAGCATATTTGAAACAAGCAAAGAGAAACAGTAAAAGGTTTGGTGCTGCAACATAGTGTTAGTGAATATTAACTGGAGGGAAATTAGCAGGATTTAAAGAAAACATGTCAGAGAGGAGGAGGTAGGCAGTGGAGGGGAGAAGAGAAATGGGATAGAGTTCAAAGGGAATCAAGAAACAGGATCAAAACTGAGATTCAGGACATGAAGGAATGGAAGGAAAAACAATACTGACCTTCAGCACTACACCTGCAAACCACCTGATGGAAAAAGTAAAGGAATCCTTCGTTAACACACCACAACCCAAGAACAGCAGTACTCGGTGCTGAGGTGTTTATGCCCCCACTGTCACACCTTTCAGAGGCTAAAATAACATAAAACATTACTGTACCCACATCAGGAAAAGTAGTGCCACCTGATGTGGGTATGTCACATATGGTCACCCCGATTGTACAGGTTGGTATCAAGCAGGGAAGACAACGGGAATGAAGCACCCACTTCCCCCAGGGATTTCAGTAGCACTTGGGAGAGTGGTGCCCTCAGGTTCCCTGGAAAACCCACATCATGGCATCACTTCATTCGTATCATATCATAACATATGATATCTGAAGAGCATTAAAGTCCCTTGAGGAAAACTAAAAATACAAATAATAAAAAAAAACACCACATAACAAATAAAACAACACATCATCCTCCACAGTGAAAGCATATGGAAGAAATGGACCCAGAAGACAAAGAAATCAGATTTTGACAAATAAATAATTTATATAGTAATTCATATCATTTCAATGTGGTTAGTAGAGCAAGAAGAAAATTTGATTTTGCTCAAATACCTTTTATTGAATCTCCTAAAAAGAGTCATAAGTATTCAAACTCTGATGCACAAAGTGACACAGTTGCAGTAAGCTACAGACAAGATTGGAGGAACAGCTTGGGGAAAGAAGCTAAAAGCATTCTTCCTACTGACAGTTTACATCACTAGGCCTCCAATAGCCTTAAAGTTAAGAATATTTAAAATAGTAACCTAAATGAGAATTGTAAGCAGCTCAGATCATTCTTTAAATGTAAACCAACTGTTTCAAACACCATAAGAACAAATTGCCAGGACCACCTTGGCAAAAACATTTGCACACCAGGTGCAGCTCAGCAATGGCAGTAACTTCTGTTTTTCAACAAGGGCTTCAGCACAAAACTTTTTGTTTATAAAACGCATCAGATCTTCTTGCACGTTTTCCTGCAAAAACACACACTTGGCTTCATGTTAGAGAATGAGAAAACGCTGTAGCCCTGTGCAGCCCCACGGCAGCTTCTTCCAGGTGCATCAAACCTCAGCCTAATGCCAGCCCAACACTGCCCGTTCCCAACACCTGAGCTGCATCCCAGGCTCAGTCCTGGAGCACAAGGTCTGTGTAGCTATTTATTTTTTAACAGAAAGCTGTTTGTGAACAGCAGCTGTCTTATCCAATAAAGGCAATCCTTCTGCCCCCTTAACACACACACATACCAATGCAGAGTCAAAGAAGTCTTCAAGAAGTAACATCAAAAATTTATTCTGATTTGGGTCGATGAGGTTCACGAACCCTCTTGCTCTTTCAAACCAAGATACTAGGTAAAAGTTAAAAGAATCAGTTAAAACCTAGGCAGAATAGTTAATAATCCTGAAGCTAGATATATCTGCAGCAAGCCTTATGCACATAGAACGTTTTTCAATCCCTGAATGTAACATCCATGTACTGTGCATTAAGGAGCTTGAATTTTGCTAGGAGGACATGAAAAGTGCCACCCCACACCCACTCAGCAAGACTTAACTCCCCCACTCCCCCTCTCTTCCCCTCCCCAGCCCTCCTCTCTCATCTCAAGGCACCCACTCATGGTGCCCAAGACCTGCTTGACACAATGCACAGCTCTAGGAGTATCATAACTCCCATGGAAATTTCTAGAGGATGTTAATTCACAGCGAAATAATCTTTTAAAAAATTGCCAAGCTTTTGAGAAGTCATTATTTTAAGAATTTATGTTATTAAACATATCACATAGCATCACACACCTGTAGCTAACTAAAACTATATGCTTCACTGGAAGTACAGAGCTCAGATGGGTGACACTTTATTAATAATCTCTCCAAGCAGGAATTTTGGCTAACTATATCCCTGAAACGCATAATTACAAGGCAGGATTACAACATTTTGGACTAAGGACTCCTTGGTACAACTCTGCTAATGGAGAGCAAGCATTAACTGTTCCCTCCTAGCTATGCTAGACACAGGTATGACCCATCTTCAGTACAAGCACATTTCTGTTACTACAGGTGTTACCAGCTGAAATCCATATTGTGCCATTAGAAGATAAAACACCATTGCAGATAAAACACATCTGGTTTACTGCCCATCTAAAAAGGCACCTTGATAAAAAGTATGTCAGCTTTTAAAATTATAAAAGCACAAACTGCTCATCAGTTCTATTAATAAAACTGGTTTTTGCTAGAGCATTTAAAAAGTGTTTGGAAATTCTATATCTTTTCACAAATAGGACTCACCAAAACTCATTCTCTCCTTCCATTGTCAGTTAAAAAAAAAAAAACCAAACACAAAACACAAACCCATTGCACCAGGTGACAAGAGAAGCCACAGTGTTAGCTTTTGTGCTGAAAGTAGTGCAATGAAAGTAAATGATTTTTTCTTCCACTCAGCTCATGCAATCTATTTTAAAACTATTTTGTTTCTGAGTGGCTAACAAGCCATCCTCTAGTTCTCACTTCCCTGGAGTTCTTTTCCCCATGCAAGCAACTTTAAATCACGTTAGTAACTCATACAGAGGATTATACTCATCTTTTCTACCAGTCCTTGCTCAATAAACAGGCTCGTCCCTTCTTGAAGATCACTTTTTAAGTAGAGCTGAATACATTTCAGCAGCAGCGAAACATTCTGGAATTCATTCTTGTCCAGCTCCTACAGAAACACAGAGCACTGTGCTTCGTTAGTCTGACACCCACAGAGCCAGGTGTTAAAATAGTTAAGATTAATTAGGGTACTCGCCTTTCTCAGCGCTTTGTCTAGCTGGTTGAAGAGAGATGCACTGTACTTCTGGGGAGGCTCTATTTCTCTCTCTTGAAGCAGGTCATTTATTTTCTGAAATCCCTTCCCCTTAAAAGCATCACCGAGAAGCAATTCAAGCTGCGGAGCGAGGGGAAGCAAACAACCAGCAAGTAAAATAAGCAGGTGTTGAAACTGTAGCACTGAGAAAGTTATTTTGGAAGTTGTAGGCTTTTTGTTTATTTGTTTTTACTTCATTTGTTTCTCTACTTCCCTTTTACTGTTACATCTAAAGGTGAAACATCAGATTTAATCTCCAAAAGAGACAGGACATTTGAAATGCAATAACCTTAAGGGATAATGAATAAGGAAATAAGTAACTCCGTTAGCACACTCAGCTTATAATTCTTACTATGTTCCACAACTGTTAAAATAATTTCTTCCCACTTACTAAGGAAAAGACTAAAGGGTCTGCTGCACTTCTCACATTACATTAAATTACTAGGTCATGCCACATCCATTTAATTATGCACCTTTAAATATATACATAACTATTTGTAAGATAAAGTTAAGGACACATTTAAAAGATATTTACATAGTCTTCTGCTCTGGCTGCCATGTTGGCATTCACCTCTCTAGTCTGTTCTTCACTTTTTTCTTCCTTTAAAAAGAAAAAAAGAGAG